CCGAAAGGTGCGTGAATAATTGAACAGAGAGGATCCTGTGAAATCAATGTTTTAAAGCCCCGAACCCCTTTCATTTGAACACCGTGAGTATCTGATGGTGCTCTGTAAAGCCTCAACCTCGAACTTTCTCCCAACTTTGGATAAATGGTGTTTGTCCCCTCGTGGTCTGATCCCACCTTACCAGTACGTATCTGCAACTACATCGGATTCACACACACTTACCAACTTGCTGCTTCCCGGCTCTCATTTAAACAAATAATCCCTTTTAATATTTTTCTTTTAATTTAAAAAAAATTAACCTACGAGAGCCAATTTTTCTTTAACAAGCTCTTAAAAATTGCATAATAAATTCTATACATTATGTAAGAAATATTTAAACAATTTCAGCAACTTTCCTAATACACTATAAACCATATTTTCACTTGTTTAAGGTCAAGACAGTTCAGCAATTTTCCGCAAAATTATTTTATTATTCCTTTTATTAATTTGTCAAAAACATAAAAAATTAAGCGTAGTCTATTTCCATATTTTTGTTTAAATTAAACTCCCTTACAACTTGATGGATTTTCATTTCGATAAGCATTTCTTTTTCAAATGAGTTTGGTCTTTTCGTTTAACCATTATATTATAAAATTTGACCTTAATTGAACAACATTTTTAAGTTCACTAATTTGGTGGTCCGCTTGACCAATTAATACATTACAATTAATTAAGGTTTTTAGTTGAGATAAAAAAGTCAATGGCACGAGCGGGATTCGAACCCGCGATCTTCGGCTTGATACGCGGCTGCTCTACCACTTGATCTATCGTGACCTCGATCCACTCGGACATCAACTTCCTATTTCAACCCCACCTTATGAGTTTTGATGAAAGAAGATCGTGGGTTCGAATCCCGCTCGTGCCATTAGCGTTTTTTCATCTCAACTAAAAACCTTAATTAATTGTAACATTTTCAAGGTCAACAATGTCAGGTTTAAAGAGAGGCTAAAAATGTGCCATTTTTTCGGTATCATTAAAAAAATCTATTGCAATTATTTGCCTATTGCAATTATTTTTTTTAAATATTTTATTTTCTGCATCCTGTGCTAAACTGCCAAAACATACCGAACCATTTACGTATTCGTTCACACCACTGCACCATTCAAGGTATCTGGTTATAGATGACATCTCGTGAGTCGAGTTTTTCACCCGGGGCGATTTTCTAAATTAAAGGTTTGTTTTCGAACCACTGTGTGCTGACGTTATTCATTCGAAGAAACATTTGGTGATTACCAAGGAGTAGGAAAGCCAAAGCTTAATGCGGTTTATCCAAAAGGAAGGTTGGGATGACCCGGCGGACCAGGTGTTTCCGGGCAAGAAGGGTAGAAAATGTACCATCCTTGGCGCAAGCCTTTGAACTCTTGCACTCGCGTGTTCTCTAAACTGACGCTTCTCCAGTCGATTTATTACCTGATCCAAAGATCCGTCGGTGTGATAAGTACTAACATGCCAGACCAGGTGCAGATTCCTTTCCCTTCTTTTTCGGCCGTGCCGCAGGGAAGCATCCTAGGTTTCTATATATAGTACTCAATGAATGATAAGTCACTGTCGTATCTTCTCTTCTTTTTTCCGACCTTCTGGATAGACAAAGTCGAAGGACCTAAATGAGCTATTGTGTCATAGATTCTATTCAGCCTTCTGACATTGTAAAGCTGGAGACACCCTCCTTCCGGAAGAGTCGGAGTATGCTTCGGCCATCCTTCCCTTTTTTATTACTTGATGGTCTTTAAGTAACTGGCTGCTGAGCCGTCATCGTGAATCGTCGAATTTTCCGAGCAGCCGTCAAAACTTTTTCCTTTCTAAACGGAAAAGGTAATTTATAAAAGCGTACATTCCACTTGAACTAGTCCTCTAATAATAAATACAATTTGCAAAAATGAGTTATAAAGTTTGACGTGAACAAACAACTAAATATTCAGAACCCAAATGAAAACGCAGGAAAGTACTTTTATAAACTATGTGTGATTAAATGTGACAGAAAGATGTTATTTTTATGAGTTTTTTGACAACGCCCTTAAAAAGTGGTTAATCATCATCCTGGGGAATATCGTCGGCCCCTGTTTGAACAGCAATGTTAATTGGATTCCTTTTAAATTTTAATGGAATCATTAGATACGGCTCGAAGAAGGGGAACGCGGTCGAATTGTTTACCTTAAAACAAAAAAAGAAGCGGTAATTTAGATTTTACTGGATTACCTGTAACGAGAGGGTCGATGGGGACGTTATTAGATATTATAGTCAGACAGGAGACCTTAATAAAAACTGGTTAATTAAAGCCTCTCGCCTATTCTATTTCTTTTAATTACTCCGTTTTAAGGTCCTCGCCGTCTTCCTTCTTTTTGATGAACGAATAATGAAAAATAAAAAATAAACCCACCGACTTGATGCTAACATTAATCCTATATAAGACCCAGTCATTGTTGTATCAAAATATTAACTGAATGCTTATTAATTTAAAATTTGATTTTCACCACGGCATCACTGCGTAAAAGGATCTAGGTTCACAATGTAAAACGTTCAAATACAAAAAGTTAAATTTTGACACAAACCGACTCCATAAAAGGGGCTGGTCTGATTGGTCCCTACGGTAAGAATAGGATGAACACAGACACACTGATGATGGTGAAATACCGAAACCCAACTTACAGACCAATCCTGGCAGGAGAGGCAGAACAAAATTGAAAACGATAAAATTGCATGTACAAAAAAAAATGATCTGGATCTCGGTGTCTGGATGAAAAAACAAATTCAGTTGTTATCTGGCAAGTTTTCGACCTATTTTAAGGTCATCATCAGGGCAAAACAATCTTAGTTATTTTGAACTAATTAAGTTTTTGATAAATGGTTTTAATTTTCTTTGAAAACAACTTTAAGATTTATGATTAAGTTTAAGTTTTACCCACCCATTAAAATTGGTCGAAACTTTGATGGATATCAATTTTCATCCAGACCATACCAAGATCTAGACAATTCGTGAGTAATACCGTGGTCGATATATCGAAAACTTTATATAGAAATTGCAAGTTTTTAATAATTTTAATGAAGATTTGGGTCCGGGTGGATTGAAGTTATGGTAACTGGTTTGGATGAAAAAAAAAAGCAAATTCAGTTTTACTACCGAACTTTCGACCTATTTTAAGGTCATCATCAAGGGCAAACAACCTTATGTCTTCCACTCGGATGATGACCTTAAAATTGGTCGAAACTTTGATGAATATCAATTTTCATTCAGACCATACCAAGATCTAGACTATTCGTGAGTAAAACCGTGGTCGATATCGAAAACTTTATATAGAAATTGCAAGTTTTTAATAATTTTAATGAAGATTTGGGTCCGGGTGGATTGAAGTTACGGTAACTAGTCTGGATGGAAAAAGCAAATTCAGTTTTTACTACCAAACTTCCGACCTATTTTAAGGTCATCATGAAGGGAAAACAACCTTATGTCTTCCACTCGGATGATGACCTTAAAATTGGTCGAAACTTTGATGAATATCAATTTTCATCCAGACCATACCAAGATCTAGCTATTCATGAGTAATACCGTGGTCGATATATCGAAAACTTTATATACAAATTGCATGATTTTAATAATTTTAATGAAGATTTGGGTCCGGGTGGATTGAAGTAACGATAACTCAAGTAACAGCAGCGGCGGGTTTAGCCGAAGGTCGTGGGTTCGAATCATCCCGCTCGTGAGATTAAGAGTACAATTAATTGAAATAATTAATACGGCCAATTAGAAAACTAAATACTTATATAGGTTTTTCATAATGTTAAAATTTAGTCACCTGCCCAGAGTAAACTTTTTTCCCCCAAGTATATCCATTGCTATTCATGCTGTGAGGATAGGTTGGTTGACTTGCTGAAAGTTGAGCCTCACTCTTGTCAGTTCTTCTCCCCTTTTAGTAATTGGTTCTTCAATAATTCCATTATATTTTTTGCGTTAATTTGCGCTGACAAATTGTCAACTCCGTTTTTCCATACCCTATCCCCGACCAGATCGTGACACCACCTCCACCCATTTGACGTTTGCTTAAAAACAATTTTCGTGATTCTGAGTTCGTCGCTCATAAACCAGATAAATTCAGGGAGGGCGGATTTGACAAAATTGCAAGTAAGATGGCAGCAAATTTATAGAACAAACTGATTTGTCTAATGGTGATTAAATTGGTTTACAATTAACTATAATTTTCATTGAATTTCCCTTCAATAAACGCCACAAACTTATTTTACAACCTGTACTTAAAACAGTGGTTTACAAGGCTTATTAAACTAAACACCTTTCAATTCAAAAGCATCAATTTACTTGAGATCATCTTCAGAGCTTAAAGTGTTTTCTTCTGTGTAATTGTGACATTCTTGCGAGCGAGGCACTCTCGACACGTCACGCAAGAATGGCACAATTACACAGAAGAAAAACACTTTGAGCCCTGAAGATGATCGCAATAAAGATCGAAACGTTGGCATGATAAAGAAAATGTTTTTCTGAAACCTACATCACACCAGACCTTATCTCACGATTTCTAAATAAATAAGTAGTTATAATAAATAATACTGACAATAATTAAAAATAGACTTTTAACAATGATATACATTTAATAAATTCATCTAATTTTTGTCCTCTTCAAAAGAAAACACACATTTATGCAAATAGTTATCAACAACTGGCCTCGCACGTTTGATCAACTTTTGTCCATTAGGTAGTACTTATTTTTGTGGGAAATATTTCTTTAGAATTTTTAACTTTTAAACATAAAATTAGCGTTTTTTTAAAGACTTTTGTAAACAGTAAAAGATTATTTATGTACTATTTATCATGTAGATGGCGCAATATCTTTCTGTATTCTTTTTGCAGTAATTTACCAAAATCAGTACTTCTTACCATCTGTGTTCACTAGTAAAGCTTCTTTAGACCCAATAACTTAACATTTGTATACTTTATTATAATGAATACTTACCGTTGGCTTTGCACGTTAGGTTGGCGGTCCCGTTCAACCGGAAGCCGATCGGACAGTGAAAATGGACGCTCTGTCCTAGTTTTGTACCTTCGGATCTGATCCTGAGATTCATCTTCTGGTACCGGCTCGCGTCAGGGTCGATCCTTTCACACTGAGCATCTGGAATATTTTGAAACAATTGAAACATAGAAATACTTGTGATGTAATAAAGTTGTGAGATTAATACAAAAATGTGCGATTTTCTCTTGTGGTCTTGTGATGAATGTGAAGTCGAGCATCGAAAACAAAATTAAATTCATTATCAATAATTCAAAACAAAAGCATCAGAATGGCACTTGGTTTTCTGGCAGATACACCAATAGATATCTTAGCTGAAGCTAACGAATCCCCATTAGAATATAGAGGTCAATTTTTAAGTAACAAATACTTACTAAAAAATATGTCCAAGGACAGGAACTTTCTTGTAAAAATAAACTCGCGTAAAAGGTTTTGCTAAACGGTTTTTGGCAAAAAGCTAGAACTCCATTGTTAGTGAATAGTTTTACAAACCTGGCCCATTATGCAGCTAAAATCAAAGAAACCCCCAAATGTGGTATCAGCGATATCGATTATAAAATGTACACCCAAAAGATATCTGTAGATTACTTTTTCTCACAACAAACAAACCCTGTTCACATAAATTTTGAATTTGGAGCTTTTCTAACTGATAATTACAATGATTTTCAACTCTTATTCACTGATGGCTCAAAAATAAATAATGAAGTGGGAGCAGCAATATATGATTTCAACAAAAATACCAATATATAAATAAAACTTAAAATCGAATTAACGGTGTACTCTGCGGTATGCATAGTTATCATAGAGGCCCTAAAATATGCTAGGAATTTATATAAAAAACAAATATTAATTTTTACAGACTGCCAAAGCATTGTAAATAAGTTGCAATTCAGTAATTTGGACAGCAACACATCATATTTGTATAAAGAAATAATTAAGGAATATTACAATTTAACACATAGTATAAACAAAAGAATAGTAATAGTATGGCTAAAAGGGCACTGTGGCATTCGACAAAATGAGACTGTTGACCAATACGCCAAACAAGCTACAAAAGATGGTACGCCATATCGTCAACGTCCCATACAGTGGCCTAGTACACGAACTGAAGATTCAACAATTTAAAGAATGACAAAATCAATATTTACAATATAATAAAGGCAAATTTTACAAAATTATTGTACTCCCGGTAGGGAAAAAAACCTTGGTTTACAGGATTATCAAAAAATAAAAAGGACACTAAAAACATTTGTAGACTAAGAACCAATCATACCGTCTGTGCAAATATCTCTATACAATAAAACAAAATCACTCGAACAATGCGAGCAATGTGGAAGTATTGAGGACCCAGAACACATAATTATACACTGTACTAAATACAAATCTGAAAGACATATTCTTTAATAAAATCTCTAAAACAATAGACTCACCTTTCAATTACATAAACATACTGATGAACGCTAAAACTATACACAATGAATTGAACACTTTCTTAAATAACAGCAAAATAAACCTTTAATAATTTCACAGCCCCCTGACGCTAAACACGCAGTTAAAAATATGATAAAAGGAAGATGGCAGCGTGAGTGGGCGGGGTCGTCGGAGAGGCTCTTGCGAGTCAAGAGCACGACCGATAGATGGCCCTCAGAGAATCTGAGCAGAAGACGAGGGATCGTCCTCACCCGACTGAGGATTGGCCATACGCGGTTGACACACGGGCACCTGCTTTTGGGCCAAAGCCCGCGCAGGTGCCCCTTATGCAGAGAAAGGTTGCTCGATGTGTTCTACATAATAGAGGCGTGTCATGCCTTGGCTCCATACAGAGAGCGTGAGGCATGCCGCCGGACTTAAGAAGAGTTCTCGAGCACGGTAGCGAGTTTCAGAGTCCCCTGTTCCGCTTTTTAGGGGAAATTGTTTTTTTTTTTTGTATATAGTATGTCTTATGTGTTGTGTGTCTATATGTTTTGTCTGAGTGCATGTATTTATTAGCGTGAATGGCGAGGGGTGAGGGTGAAATATAACGTCATCACCCGTCATATTTATTATGACGGTATTATGAGAATCGGATATACGTGGATGAACATTCTGAAATTTTTCATACACTAAATGGGATAAGGTTCAACCAATATTACAGTCCTTGGCAATATTTACATTGGTTGAAATAAAAAAGCCAATATGAAAAATGAAATAAAAAAATTAAAAATGGCAAAATGGAGTGGAAATTCGAAATGTAGGTTGAGATGGGAAGTTGGTGTCCAGGTGGATCGAAGTCACGATAGGTCAAGTGGCAGCGACGTATTTAGTCGAAGTTCGTGGCTTCGAATCCCGCTCGTGACATTGGCTTTTTTATTTCAACCATTACTTTACATAAAGATTATCTCTATTGCTATTTCAAACAACAATAACACAAGTAAAGAACGTGATAAAAGAAAGTTGGCAGCGTCAGTGGGCCGGGTCGTCCGAGAGGCTTTTGCACGTCAAGAGCACGATTCGTAGATGCCCCCCCCCCCCCGAGAACCTGAGCCGGAAACAAGGAATCGTCCTTACGCGATTAAGAATAGGCCATACGCGGTTGACCCACGGGCACCTGCTCTCGATGTGTCCCACATATCGGAAACATGTCATGCCTTGGCTCTCTACAGGGAGCGTGTAGGCATGGCATCCAATCTGAAAATGGTACTCGCGCACTTCAGCGGGTTTCTGGGTCCCCTGTTTTTAGGGGAAATTGAGTTTTTTTTATTGTATATAATATATCTTGAGAGTTGTGTGTCTATATGTTTTGTCTGAATGCATGTATTTATTAGCGTGAATGTCGAGGGTTGATGGTGAAATATAACGTCATCATCCCCCCTCGAAGGTTGAGAGCGTATGAGTGTGTGTTCGGGGTCGATGGCGGAATATTTATAAAAGTACTCCATCGACCCCAATCTAGATTAGTTTTAATATAGGGTCGGTGGAGGAACATGAAGTACTCCACCGACCAAATGGAAAGAGTGTATTGTATGAATGTATTTATGTGTATGAATGTATTGTATGAATGTAGTGTTTGAAAGGGTAAATAGAATACAGACATAGTTGGGGGCTGAAATGACCTAGATGTCGGAAGCTCCAGTCAAAAAAAAAAATTAATAATAATTTCACAAAATATCAGTACATACTTTAAAGCAAATGAATAAGGTTTAAAGAGGAGTGGCGGTGTTTGGAGGCATGCCCAGGGGGTCCTGGCGTTGCTGGCCCGTTGGGGGCGACCACGGTCACTCTGGCTAACATGAGCCTCGGGCCTTACAGAGTGTGGACGGCATGGCACACGTGCACACTCTGGAAAAGGGTTTCTGACTTCATGAATATGTTATTACAACTAATTATATTATACAAGTCTAATCAGGATATATTGGGAAGAGAGGGATCGGGATGCCCGCTGCCGGGCTGGGGCGCTTTGGGCTTCCGGTCCCGAGCCCATTACTCAGCTCCTCGAAAAATATACATATATAGCCAATCAGCTCAGTACTGAAAGCCAAAAAAAAAAAATCTTACAGAACAAATCCATGTTCATCACTCCTCACACAATATACACAACCTCCAAGAGAAATCTCACGATTTATATTTAGTTTTTTATTCAATTAAGTGAATCTTTATCACTTCTCGAATTATACTGAAACAATTACCTGTGACTAGTACGGTGAGGCTGTTGGTGACACCTTTCGGCGTTGCGCAGGTGAAAACCCCCGAATCCTGGGGTTTAGTGTAGTATATCGACAGCCTGTATTTCCAGTCTCTCTCTTCAGGAGCTATCGCCCACCCTGTGATCAAAATATAAACATATTTAATAAACATTTCTAATTAACCAGCTATTAAGATTTTAGTAATTAACACTCGACTTAAACAAAATAATTAACGGCATAATTAGGTGACGGAAGACGGGAGCTGGGGGCGTTGCATTGAAGGACTCCTTTGAGACCGTGACTCATTACCCGAAGTCTATTGTGCCTAATGAATCACAATTATTAGTGGATTAGCCGTTCGATTTGCTGCTAACGAAACGACTAAGATATTGTTATTGGTTGTGTTATGCCTAAGAAAAAATATCTTTTCATTTATTCATAGATTACATTGTTTCTAATTAATCTATGACCTTATTATATTATTAATTATCAAAATCTCGACACGACTCGCAAGAATGGCACAATTACACAGAAGATAAACACTTTGAGTACTTAGAAATACTTTGATTGAATATATAAAAAAATATATATTTTGCATTGTATAAATTCACTTTCCACATCCAAAATGTAATGTTATATGTAAACAATGTTTGTAAATCCCAGGCTCTGAAGATGATCTCAATAAAGATCGAAACGTTGGCACGATAAAGAAAATGTATTTCTGAAACCTACATCACACCAGACCGACCGCATCTCACGATTTCTAAATAAATATCGATTAACGGTCACTAATCACCACACATTAATTAAAACAATGAAATGGCAAAACACTATCAATATTATTATTAAAAAAAACTTACTGTGAGTAGGAACTATAATTTTAAAAATATTGACCAACACCATTTATCTTTTCTAAACACTATCAATGGCATGAATTATGTACGATTAAAAAAATACCACAAAACGACAGAAAAGATTTTTTTTTTTAAATCAAACGATGGAATTTTTATTTTGTTGATTTTAGTCAGCGTGAAGATCTTTTTCAACAGATGTGAATATTGAAATGATTCAGATTTATTCCATCGTAAAACAAAAAGTTGACGATTCCCTAAATTCAAGTTTATTAGATTTTAGTAATTAAATTCACTGTTTTAATAAAAATTGCCACCGAATTGATAAAGAAAATAAATAAAAAAAGAGTAAATATTTAACTGCCCATGAACATAAAAAAGCCCCGTGGTTGTTGCCGTGTTCCCGTTGGGTGTACAAGAACAATTGAATCCATCAGCGATATCGGTAAAAGCGTGGGAAATTAATTTCGACGATTGGTTTATAAAAGCACCCGTGTTCATTTCAATACAGTGACAACATTATTAAATTTTAAAGGTAAAAACATCTCGCCTCTGCGAACAAAAGCCGAATAAGAGACAAGCAAAACAAATCAAAGTATAGAAAATAAACGGATTTTTTGCATATACTATTTATACTGAAGGCGTTGGTTTGGCCCAGTTATGATTTCAGGGTTAAATGGATTGTATAGTTGTTAGATTTAGTGTAGTTATGATAGTTATTAAGTTTCAGATTGATAGAATGGAACCAGGGTAACTAAAGGAAATCATCCAAAGCAACTGTCAAACAGTATGCCCATTATCTTTTTTTTTCCCATCCACCTCCCCGCCGTACTTAACGGAGACCCCATACCGGCGGACCGCGGCCACTAAACTAATTCAAATGGGATGCAAGTTTAGGGGATCTTATTGTACTTAACTTCTTCCTTCGACCTTGCCCTGAAAGGGAAGACCCAAGGAAGAAGGGAAATTTTTTTCTTATTATTAATTTATCTAATCTAATAGGTCTCCCCCTTGCTGGTTAATCCTTTTGAATACACTTTCTAATAAATACAATATTTTAATAAATAAGTAACAATTATGGGTACATGGAGTAACCAGCCCGGAATTAAAAGTTCAGGGAAACGCTAAGATCTAACAAGTAACTTATCGTAGGAAGAAAAAGAAAAAAAGTAATCAGCTACTTTATCCACTATAGCTCGGCTAACAGGTTTGAGGACCTCAAACGTCCTCTTTTCTTTAACCAGTTGAGGGTCGGTGGCCAAGTGTGGCGGAAGAGGAGCTTTAGTGGTTCCCTCACACTTTCAAGGACACCTTGAATAGTCTGTGTTGGACCCTGTCATCAACTCCGCAGTCGGGACACAGTGGACTGTTAGCTCTACGAAATCGGTGCAATGCCCAGTTATGATCTCAGGGTTAAATGAATTGTATAGTTGTTAGATTTAGTGTAGTTATGTTAGTTATTAAGTTTCAGAATTGATAGAATGGAACCAGGGTAACTAAAAGAAATCATCCAAAGCAACTGTCAAACAATATGCCCATTATCCTTGCCATGACTTAATTCTGTTAATTCATTAACCAACTTACATGTCTAACCTTAACTTATATCATTTTTCATCATCATCATGATCGTTTTTAATATAAACAGCTAATATATGATCTATGTGATTGATCAATTAGTGTAAAGGTGTTCATTCACAATCACTCCAAATTGAACCGCGCCAAGCCGTTCAGCTCCATTTGGAGTGCCTGAAATTTGAGGGGGCGCTCCAAACGTCAACCAGTGAATTACCTTCTGGTAATGGATGACGATCTCTTGTGCTACGCTTCTGTTTATTTATATATTAAAAGCAAAAAATTGAAGATGAAATGGTGTAAGAAGTGGCTCCTGAAGCCGTAATACCCACAGCAATTGAAGAAAGATCTTTCCCTTGAACCCGCTGATTGGAGGAACTATTTAAGGATGGATGAAACGTCTTATTTATTCATTATATTTAGCGTTCTATTGACCAAATTACTTCTTTCAATTAATTAATCTCTTTTTGTTAGGCTTTGGTTGAAATGAAAAAGCTAGTGACACGAGCGGGATCTGAATCCATGGCCTTCGGATAAATACGCAGCTGCTCTACCACTTGAGCTATCGTGACTTCGGTCCTCTCCGGCACCAAAAAATGGCAAAAAGAGAGAAAATTCGAAAGGTTGTTGGTTAAGATGGGGAGCTGGTGTCCGAGTGGATCGTACTATCGAAGTCACGATAGATCAAGTGGTTAGCGCAGCGAATGCCGTGGATTCGAATCCCCCTCGTGATATTATTTTTTCATTTCAAGCAAAACCTTACAAAAAAAAAAGATTAACGTCTTATTTATATTCACCCCAGCTTGTTACCCCCTTGATTAGAAAACAAAAGACAGTCATGAGAGAAATCATCACTACATGAAAGGTTGGCAGCCACATTACGATTTCTCGCTGCAGGGATGAACTACAAAGAACTTAAGTTCTCTACTACGATTTCTGATCATTGTTCGGAGTTATCAATACCGCTTCTCTCATTGCGTTTGTATCTTTGTTTTGAAAACGTCGACCAACTGGTTGAGGATCGAATTTCTTTTATTTCTATCGTGGTAATCATTGCCCACCACTTTCCATAAACATGGTAAACTTTCATACAATTCAATCACCTCAACAATAAAATCTCGATTGGATGTCATTACCAATAAAAAATAAACGTTTTTGACTTTTTGAGAATGTACGACGGAGATGTTTGCTCAGTGACAGAAAGACGGAGACTGCGCCAAAAAAACGCGTTCACGCCAGGTTTTCCCATTGACGAACGCGCCATGCCGTCGCCGCGCCGTAGATATTTGGAGTGGCGCGATGGAGTTTGGATCGGTCGAATATTTGGCACAGCCTGGCACGCCAGTTCAGTTTTGCCATTGACGTGGTTTTTGGAACGGCGACGCTCCGTTTGGACTGCTAGGAGCGATCGTGAATGGCCACCTTAACGTTACCTGTAACGGCGCGCCAGGCCAACAATTCTGCCAGACACACAAGTCGTGCGGGTTTAGTATCACAGAATCCCATTAAACAGGAATTGGAAATTAAAAAACATTCAAATTTTTCATTTCTGAAATATAAAGTTTTGTGAACATTTTTTTGATAACTATATCTTCAAATAAAAATTAAAAACATGTAGCTTTGAGACGTTCGGTTAAAATGAAACAGCACTCTAATTTGTTATTATAAGACATAATGAGTTTGATGGCTTATATTTTAGGCTTGCACAGAAATCCAGACTTAAGAAAAAGCCACCATAAAAAATAAATTTCCAATTATTGGGAAAACGTAAGCTGGTGATGTAGATACCGTGAGGGTTGGAAAGCAACGAAATTGGTAGAGAGGCATTAATGCAGTACACAGGTCGATTCAAAATAGAACAGTGGGGTCAGGTCTAGTGAGGTTAAAAAATAACCTAAAATTTGACCTAGCAAAACCTCCTGGTCCTACACCTTCAATTATCCAAGCTAAAATCAGGCCGTAGAACTCAGAAATGAAGAAATATTTCAAAACGGCTTTAACGTTGCATAAACTATTCTCACACATCCAAGTAGTCCCTTTAACTTTAAAGAGGAACTGAAAATGAAAAAAACTTAAAAAATTTTCATTTCTAAAATATAACGTTTGTTGTATAGTTTGAACTAATTTAAACATTTATTGATAACTAAATATGCTTAAATAAAAATTAAAGACACGCACCTTTGAGGCGTTTGGATAAAATAAAGCAGCACACCAAATATTACGTTTTCCAATAAAATTTTTATTCAGTTTGATTAAAGAACAGTTAGAAATAAAAATAACAAAACACAACGTAAATAATAATTAAAATTGGTAAAATATACAGATAAATAGTAAAATAAAAACACCAGGAATCACTTCACTTTTCTTATGCTTTCTAACGTTTTACTTTTCTTACTAATTCTTCGGTTCTTTGTTGAATTTATTTTTAGCGTATTTTATTTGGTTTCCGTCTAATTTTTTCATTGCCCGTACACATACAATCCTAATTAATATTTAATTATAATAATTATTAGATGTTTTTAAATTGTGGCTCGTGACATTAATAACAGTTGTCCAGCAACACAAAAGTACTGAAAGAAAACTAACCGCAAACATACATGTCAAAAAGTTACAATTAAGTAATATGTATAATTTCAAGTAGATACAAAATTGAATTTTTGAAAAATAAAAACTTCAAAGTACTACTAGAATTACGTAAACCACTAATCAACAAAT